CTAGCTTCGACCCCAAAACAATACAGCTGTGGCAAATCAGTGAGGCCCGGCAGGGTGGTCCATGCCCAGTCCCGCAGTGGATGTCGAGCCCATTGGCATGGCCACGCAGGTAGGCAAAAGGACGAATCGTCTTGTGGGAGATGTCTTGCATGTTTCGCCAAGGCATCACAGAGTTCGTTGCCTAAGCACCCTGTATGGCCTCGGACATGCTTGTGGTGAGCAGGCAGGAGTTCTGTGACATATTGTCGTAGGACAACAGCGAAATTGGCAAGAGAGAGGTATGGCGTAGGCTCTCCGGAACCTACCGGAGCTGTGACTCCAAAAGCGCCTCCTCCAGCCGCAAGTGCATCGTACAGAAATTCGATGGGAACACTGAAAGCTCTTCCGTATTGCGCCGCCCAGCACAATGCCCAGCAAAGTGCTAGCAACTCTGCAGTCAGTGCATCATCTTTGGACTCGCCAAGATGGAATACGCTGCTGGCCGGGAAGGCTGGGGCCGACGCATGTCCGACCAATAGACGCGTGCCGCCAACCAGAGCAAAAACAGAAAAAGCCCATGCACATGGGCGAATGTCATTGCCATCGGCTGCAGCAGAACCATCCGTGTAGATTTCTAGGCTGTCTGGTTGTGGAGTGCCGACATGGTGCCACAGTGGGACATTTACAAGACTGGTTCTGGTCTCAAGCGATAGAACGCGAGACCGTAGCACAACGTCAAGGTTGTTGTCCAGCCAGTCGCACTCTTCTGTAGGGAGTCGGTGTGGAAGCGAAGAAAGAAATTCGAGCGTCGACTGCTGATGAGGGGAAACGGGCAATGTCTCCTCAAGCAGAAGAGAGACAGGCGAGGGAGAATTGGAGGAAACCGAAGTTTCCGCGGACATTGGCTCCCCCTGGTGTTCCACTAGAGTTTCAAGGAGGGTGGCCGCTAGGAATGCCCATTCATCGCCCCTCGCAACACATTCGTCCAGTAGTGTATAGAGGTGGTCAAGCTGTCTCCAATCGGTGTCATCAAGCAGAAGCCGTGGTGGCCTGCAGGGCGTAGGCAAGAGGCGCCCCCAAAATGCGGGAGGTGGCGGCAGGGTCGCAGCTGTCTCAAGGGTGTCGAGCACGCTCAGGTCGACATCCACAGCTGATTTAGCAGGATGGTCCGTAGGAGGAGGGTGACCAACAAGAGCAGCATGACCAGAACTGTCGCTCCAAACCCTTGGGAGACCTGCACTGGACCCCGGTACTGAACCAGGGAAGGTGGAGATTGGGACTGCAGTACCGCGCTGGCTCACTACGAAAAACCCACCGAGTCGAAGTGGCACGGCCAGGGCTCCCCATCCTGGAACCTGACTGGGTCCGGCACTGGTTTGCCGACCGCGTCGAGCTGTGGCTCTTGTAGTAGCCTGTACACAGTAGCCGTTCGCACTCGCATTCTGCCTACAGACAGTATTGGGATGTGCCGCCTTGGGAGAGCAGGCAGCTGCCTTTGGAACAATATCCGCTGGCATTGGCGCACGCTGTACTCCATCTAGAGAGTGAAGGTCGATGTGGCGCCGTGGTGGTTCGCCGGTTGTTTCACCCTCAGCTTCAAACTTCAAACCCTAACCCCCCTAACCCCTAAACCCCTAAACCCCAAACCCTAACCCCCCTAACCCCTAAACCTCTAGACCCCAAACCCTAACCTCCCTAACCCCTATACCCATAAACCCCAAACCCTAACCTCCCTAACCCCTATACCCCTAAACCCCAAACCCTAACCCCCCTAACCCCTAAACCCCTAAACCCCAAACCCTAACCCCCCTAACCCCTAAACCCCTAAACCCCCTAACCCCCCTAACCCCTAAACCTCTAGACCCCAAACCCTAACCTCCCTAACCCCTATACCCATAAACCCCAAACCCTAACCCCCCTAACCCCTAAACCCCTAAACCCCAAACCCTAACCCCCCTAACCCCTAAACCCCTAAACCCCAAACCCTAACCCCCTAAACCTCTAGACCCCAAACCCTAACCTCCCTAACCCCTATACCCATAAACCCCAAACCCTAACCTCCCTAACCCCTATACCCATAAACCCCAAACCCTAACCCCCCTAACCCCTAAACCCCTAAACCCCAAACCCTAACCCCCCTAACCCCTAAACCCCTAAACCCCAAACCCTAACCCCCTAAACCTCTAGACCCCAAACCCTAACCTCCCTAACCCCTATACCCATAAACCCCAAACCCTAACCTCCCTAACCCCTATACCCATAAACCCCAAACCCTAACCCCCTAACCCCTAAACCCCTAAACCCCAAACCCTAACCCCCCTAACCCCAAACCCTAGCCCCCCTAACCCCTAAACCCCTAAACCCCAAACCCTAACCCCCCTAACCCCTAAACCTCTAGACCCCAAACCCTAACCTCCCTAACCCCTATTCAGGGGTTACACTAACCATCCTGGCTCGCGGTGGGTGCTCTTAAGATGTTTGGGTGCTTGCTCATAGGTTTTGGTTGGCAACGATCAGACAACATGTTCCTTATGTTCGGCAACGATCACACAACATGTTCCTCACGAAACTCTCCTGTTTTCACCCCACTGCGGATCGGATCTCCCCTGCGATCGGCCCAGGCTGCTTCAGACCTTTGCCCCAAACTGAGTGTTTGAAGTCTTTCATAAAACCTGGCAGGTCCGAATGCAACCTAGGTTACCCTTCGCCGCTTCGCGGAAGCTTCAGCTTTGCGAAGCCAGCTCAGAACCATAAAAAAAGCTTGGCCCTCGCTCCTTTTGCTGGCCGTCATACTTCGTATGGTGGCCTTCCTTTCGTCGATTTGCATGAGCGGCAAATCGGGGTTGAACGAGGCAGATGTGGACTGCCTCGGATGCGGGATCATAGGTTTTGCGGAATTTATGCTTGCAAGCACAGCACTCTCTCAATCAGAATCAGCCAAGATACTTTCCCTCGAAAAGTCTGCCACCAAGCAGCTTCCCCTGATAGTGGGGCAGAGTTTGATCTCGGAACACAGTTTTGTGAATATGGACATTCTCCGGCAGCTCGTAGCGGTCAGTGATCTCCTTCGGGATGGCTGCGGTTGCGCTTAGCAAACTTCGGGATGCTCGCTCATCGATCGCATGGGCCGCCACTGGCATATCCATATCCGCATCGTCCTGCTTGGCCTCGTCCTGTCCGAATCATGCTCATAATTGTTTGTTTGAACAGACTTTGAACCTATCGGTTGCAACTTGCCCCGGCCTCACTCTCCTCATCCATGCCAGCCAGCAGGTGTCTGCAGGCCGTGGTAGCTGGATCGTCGTTCAGCTCCGCCCACTGGTACTCCTGTGGGGCAGAATCATTGAAGTCTACAAAGCGACAGGTTTTCTGCAGTTCGAACGGAAACATGACTCCTCGCTCTCGTCTTTCTCTTCATCTTTCTCCTTGTGATTCTTTCTTTTTTCCTCACGAGATTCAAGAATCTGGATGATCTCCTGAATCACCGTCTCGCTGCAGACCTGCTTTACTGCATCCTCTGCCATCAACCTGCGAATCTTGCAAGCAACAGTTGTATTCTTCGGCATCCTCACGTTCTGATGCAAAAGAAGGTCCGACAAGGAGGCCGAAGGAAGTCGAAGAATCTTTTTCGTCTCCACCAGGCAGGGGAGCAAAGAATACTCGATCGTGCCCTGTCGTACCAGCAGTCCACTGCCCAGCTTGCTCGCTAAGGCATCCGGGGCGATGTGCAACGTGTACAACATCAGCTTTGCCTGCTGTACATTTACCGTACATCTCAAAGTCATGACTTCAAAGAAAGGAAAAATCCTGCCTCGTCGGGGCGGAACAACAGGGTCTGGCACATATGCCTAGGGTGTTGCGAATGATAACAACACACAATGGATCCGGTGGCTTTTGCGAAACGAATATGATTGCAAGCCCAGGCGCTCTGAGACATCAATGCACAGTGCTTTGCTGGCTTGGCCTTTCCCCAGGGGATCAATCTGCACAGCGGCCTTGCTGGCTTCTTTCGGCATCCGCGTTTCATCCGGGATCGGGTTTGGAAGGCCGTCGCGAAATTCGTAGGGCAGCTCTTTCATTCGAATGGCCTGGGGTGTGAAGACATCATATGAATCTCAAACACTTCACTGCATGAATGAAGGATGCCGATCTGAATAGGGTTTCGGTTATCTCAGAATATGAGCTAAAATTTGGCAGTGGTTGTGTGAGGGCTAATAATGCGATTTAAAACGAACAGCAAAGAACCCGGAAAGGCACAAGACCATACTCATATTCTGTGCCAGCAGACCCTGAGAAACAGAAAGGCGTATATATTCCAAATAATAGCAACTAGCAACACGAGCCTTTTCACGAACTTTATTTCTATTTCAATTAACAATAGACTCTAGCATCATATACTGGACTAATCTAAGTGCAAACATTCGAATCATATGAACATGGGATCTATTGCATAGAGCCGAGACCTTTGCATTACATAAAACCAGGCCAGGTGGGCTTAGGACCACTTCGATTCAGTGATTCAGAACTCCAGATTACGAATGCAAGCAAGCATCATAAACCAAACACGGGGACCGTCCCGTGGTCACGAAGAACTCACCCTTCACCTTCAGGAGATCACCAGCTCCCAGGCATTGGGCTGCCCACAGATGCGTGCTCGCATCCAAAACATCCAAAGAGAGCCTCAGCTTCGACAACAAAACATGTTTTGTTTGGTTCGTGAGGCCGAGGGGCGGGGGGCGGGGGGAGGGGGGGGGGGGGGATTGGGGTTGCATGCATAATCATGCGCAAACGAGTGTCCGCTTCATTTCCATGAAAGCACTCAAGGCGTTGAGCTGATCGTGGTTGTGGTGAAAAGCACTTGTGCTGTTCATCGGCTTGACAATCTCATCCATGTTGAAATTCTTGCCTTGCGAATTGGAATAAGGACTGGATTGATTACATGAACCCAATGCATGCATGCATGCTTCCAATCTTCAATCAAGAATCACGGGTTGCAAGCTTCAGGGCACCAGATTTTGGCTTTGAGGCCGGCGGTCTGCTTTCCAATATAATCATCAGAGGCAAGGCGTAGCGGGGTCGGGCTCGTTTCGGACGTGCAAACACGACGATCCAAAGATCGCACTGCTACACTCATCATCGCCTGCATCGATGCTCCCTCAGAGCGGTTCGATTTTTTCAGTGCTGCCTGGATCTCACCAAACACACTCTCAAGATTGGCAGACCATCCAAAAGGAGGGTGCCAGGCCTCGATGAGAGACCTAGCCTTGTCCGTGATTCTGTACTGGCACTGCTCCATCATGGTGTGTATCTCTCGAAAGTTCTGAAAGTCTGTGAACCGGCATCTCGATTTCAGAAGAGCATTCATGCGATCATTGGCTTCCATGAATAGCACCGTCTCCCATTCCTGCTTCATCTCACTCAACACACTTTGCTTGGCGCTCGTGTTTCCATCACCAGGAACAATGAGTGCTGCCGCACAAGCCGGGGCTCGTCGCAAGTAAAGTGCGTATTCCAGCAGCTCGTGAGCCGAAGCCAGAACCATAGAAAAGCACTCATAAAGAACATTCTCTTCGGTTTGACTTCGCCGGAAGGACAAGTCCAGAACCTCCCAATAAAGGGTTTAGTTTCGTCGCATGCACATGAACCCGGATTGATTTGGTTGATTTGGTTCACAAACCAATAATGGAGCGCTAACTACCTGACACAACTTCGAATGGCCTGGGCCGCGGCGCTGCACTTCACATCTGCTGGCATCTTCAGCCCTTCGGAACCCAGAGGACGCCCGCTTGATTTTTTTCAATCGGCCGCTTGATTTTGGAGGCACACGAAACTTCTATTGAATTTGAGGAAATTTCAATCGTTTGGAACTTTTGTTGGTACGTGTTTCTATTGATTTTGAGTGTTGACTTCTATTGATTTTAATCGTGGTCTTTCTATTGATTTTATGGAAAATTTCTATTGATTTTATGGAAAATTTCTATTGATTTTATGGAAAATTTCTATTGATTTTATGGAGATTTTCTATTGATTTTGAGGTGGATGTTTCTATTGATTTTATGGAGATTTTCTATTGATTTTGAGGTGGATGTTTCTATTGATTTCAGCTTGCTGAAACGACGGCCCGGGCGGCCCCAGTTTGCTAACCAAATAGAGAGAGAGAGAGAGAGAGAGAGAGAGAGAGAGAGAGAGAGAGAGAGAGAGAGAGAGAGAGAGAGACAGAGAGACAGAGATACAGAAAGACGGAGGAGACAGACAGAAGAGATGGGATGTGGGCCGGACGGCCCCACGAAGGGAGAAGGCGGGGGAATCATTTTTGGCAGGTTCGTGCATGGCAGCCGTCTTGCAACCAAAGCTTCCAGGGGCCGGACGGCCCTAAGAAGGAAGAAGGGGGGGAATCATGCTTCAAATCTCGTGCATGGCAGCCGTCTTCAAGCCAAGCTGCCAGGAACTTTGGGCTAGGTCAAGATGCAGGGCGATGATGAAATTGTCGTCCAGGCCTATGCCAAGCTGCTTCACGCCAAGGTTCCAGGCAAAGTCGCGAGGTCCTTGGTCGTGATGTGGCGGAGAGGTTACCTAGACCAGCTGGAGATTCTTGGCATGAACACATATACATATACATATATATATATACATATATATACTTATACATATGCCGTATATAGACTATGTATTTAATTTTTTACTTATATAGAGCTAAGGGATGTCGACAAGGAAGTGGGCTTCCTGAACTTTTTGGAGTACCTCATGTACAAGATCGAGAATGATATGGACATCGACCCCGAGCGCTGGCCGGAGGCGACGAAGCACATGAAGATGAAGGAGCACGGGTACATCCGCTTGTTGCTCAACGATGCTTCATTGATCGCTCTCCAAGCAAACCCAGGCCCCTTGAGCGGAATGACGAAGCCTCAACTACTTTCGGAAGCAGTGCGGGTGGGGCTTAAGGTACACCAGTCCTGGAGCGACCAGGAGTTGCGGGCGAGGATCATGGAGCACGTGGACGCTACATTTTTTTGAAATTGAGCCGCCCGTGCGCCAGGTCCGAGGATCTGACCAGTGCCAGGCGGCTGGGAGGTGAGCTCCAGGACAAGCCTCAAGTTTCCAAGATTCAAGGGGTCGTTTGTTAGAAGCGGCTTAATTCAAGTGCTAATCCAGGGCAGGCTACTGCCAGGGTATAATTCAAGCCGAGATCGATCAAGCCCTGCTTGACATGCAAAATTGTCTTGGCGAGAAGAGGACCTGAGCTGAAGTTTTTTTTCATAGTACGCTGCATGCTTCAGGCAGGCCTAGCCAGGTCCTGGGCTTCAAGCTCCAGGCAGGTCTGTCGGGTTTAAGTGCTGCAGGCCGCCAGGCAAGTCCTCAGGTTCTTAGAGCCATGGGCAGCCCCGCAGCTGCTGGCCGCGGCGGCGAACGCAACTTCGCCAAGCCGGAGGTGGACCAGGAGCACTTGCTGGACGTGTTCAAGAAACACGTCAAGCTCCTAGGTGTCCAGGCCGCCTTCAACTTCGACCCCTACGGCAACCTAGCCAAGACGAGTGCTGTCCAGGCCAAAGGGCTTTCAAAGGCGACGGTTTTGCTCAAGAAACTCCAGGAGGTGGAGAGCGGCTTGGCTTTCAAGTACAAGGACTTGAAGGAGTGCTTGGCCAAGGTCAGCAAAGACTACCCGGACCTCATCCACCAGGCCCCGCTGAGCAAGCAAACTGCTTGGGCTGGGGACACGGCCGAGATGCTGCTGACCGTCATGGCTCATGCTCGCCGCTTGTGCAACGACACCAGGTTCAAGGAGGCTTGCAGCAAGGCGACCCAGTTCGAGATCAAGGATCTCGAGGAACTCAGGGCGCTGCTTCTTCCAGAAGTGTCGGCCTCACCAGCCAAGCTCCAGCAGGCGGAGACCCACAACACCAAGCGGCCGAGCACAGGGACGCCAAGCCCTGCGACCAAGCCGCCAAAGCTACGGTCGTTAGCCCCTGCGAGCAGTCCGCTTCGAAAGATTCGGACCAGGGATCTGGAGCTTCCAGACACTCCCAAGACCGCCAAGACGAGTTTGAGCCAGGAAGCCGAAGGCAGTCCCGTGCCAGGCAGCAAGGCTCGAATCAGGAAGTCTTGGGAGGGCGAGGTTTTGAAGAAACCAGCTGCAGCCGCTAAGCCTGTGAAAAAGGACAGTGACAAGCCGAAGAAGAAGCCGGCCTCTAATCTTAACATTAGAAAAAAATTTTTGTTGTTCGTAAGCATATATTTCTATCTAGGAAGATGTATTTAAGTGAAGCCCTGAATGTTTAATCTCCATCATCAGGCCCCCAAGGACAAGGACAAGCCCGAGTTGACGGAGGCTGAAAGGGGCAAGCTGCAGATCATGCACTACCACGACAGTGTCGCATTGAGAGTCGACGGTTCTAGGCAGCTTTTCCAGATCGTGTGCAGGAAGCATGGTCGGGATAAGACCAAGCTTCAGGTTGCCAAGATGAAGAAGAAGCTCGCCGAGGGCGGCTCTTTGGCAGAGGCCTTCAAGGAGAAGGCTAAGTTTTTGGAGTCCTAGTTTCAAGTCTTTTAGTGTTCCAAGCCAGGGCTGGAAGCCCGGTGGCCTCGACTGCATAAGCCAGTATGCATGAGTGAAAAACACATCGACCCTCCAGCTGCATGAGCCTGCAAGTAAAGTTTCAAGGGCTGGACAGCCCTTTTCGGCGGCAAATGCTCCCAAGCGAGATCGATCTTCGGCCGCTGCAGCTCCCAAGCTCAAGAAGCAGCTTTAGGAGTTACTTAGTCAGGCAGCCAAGGAGCTGCCAAGTCAAGCCGGTCCAAGCCATGGCCGGCCAGCAGCCTCGAGGGCGCCCAGGAGGACCCATCCCCGCGATGGGAAAGGGCCCCCAGCGAAACAGTCAGCCAGGCGGCACCGGACACTTGCACGCATGTAACAAAGTTTTGCATTTGTTTTAAGGATTTAACGAAACCGTTGATGTCTATGTTTGAAAGCACTCAGACTCAAGCGCCTGGCGAGAGAACTGGAGGGCGCTTTACAGCCAGTACAAGGACGAGGCCGGCCTTGGAGTAACAAGCAAAAGTTTATACATACATTATAATATATATATATATATATATATATCAAAAAATATACATAAAAATATGTACATATATATATATATATTTAATTTTTATATGTTTGTGTCCCTTGTTGCGGTCCCTATCTAAGCCCCCATCCCCTAAAACTATATACTTAATGAAAACCCCTGCGGCCAGGGCGAGACCTTCGGCCACTGGCAAAACGATGTGGTGCAACACCTTAGCCTCAAGTTCGACACCCAGATGCCCCAGGACCAGTCGATCAGGTTGTTCATTAACCGGGTATTTGAGCAATCAGGAACAATCGAGTCGATCGACGACTGGCTGGAGGTACAGTTGGATGAAATGAGCATAAAAAGGAGCAGCCAGGAGCCCCAGGATCCCCGCTCATCCAGGAGCCAGCAATCCCAGGAGGTCCACATTAATTGGACCTCCAATGGGCAGGATGAGCAGGGTCGACCCTTGTCACCCTGGAGGCGGCCACAGCCACTGCCTGCACCTCCTAAGGGCCTCCAGCTCCAGGGCAAGACGTCGCCACCTCCCAAGCAGCCGCCGGCGAAAGCACCTGCCCAGGAGCAGCTTGACTGAATTTACTTGACCTTTTAATCTTCAAAACCTTTAGCTGTCTTCAAGCCGTCAAGGGCTGGAAGCCTATTGAAGCCGTCAAGGGCTGGAAGCCCTATTGAAGCCGTCAAGGGCTGGAAGCCCTATTGAAGCCGTCAAGGGCTGGAAGCCCTATTGAAGCCGTCAAGGGCTGGAAGCCCTATTGAAGCCGTCAAGAGCTGGAAGCCCTATTGAAGCCGTCAAGAGCTGGAAGCCCTATTGAAGCTGTCAGGGGCTGGAAGCCCTATTGAAGCTGTCAGGGGCTGGAAGCCCTTTTAGCCGGAAGCACCCCCAAGTAGCAGTGGAAACACCCAAAATTAGCCCTTAAGTTTGAGTCATGATCTCAGGCCCGCTCCGCCCGCTACCCCGGCGACCTCAGTCCCAGCCACCACAGCAGAAGGCGACCTTCCAGGCTTGAATTATCCAAAGTCATGTATAAGCCACATGTAAAACGATTTTTGAAAACCCGTAAGCTTTCTTTGAAATCTCGGCAGCTTGCAGGAGGTCAAGCTGAGACGGAGGATCCCGCTGCCCTCGAGTTCTTGGAAGCCGAACTTGCCAAGCTCCAGGAGACCAGGCTCGAGGTGGCCCACGAGATCTACAGGCGCAACCGCGAGGTCGGATCTTTAAAACATAATTATCATCTACTCTTTAAGCAAAGATTTTATTGTAAAAAAACCTATTATACTGTTTCCTTCTATTCTGAATTCTAGGAATATACGATTTCCAAGGCCCAGCTCCAGGACGAGCAGGAAAACGAAAGGCAGGCCACAGAGACGGAATTCCAAGAATTCCAAGAGTCAATGGAAGAAGTCAAGGCGAACTCTGATGCCGAATGGGAGGAAAAATGATAAAGGAGGTGGAGGAGAGGAGGGCCAAGAGGTCGAAGACGAGGAGTGACGACCTAAGCAGAACGCTGGTCGTCAAGCGCCAAGACCTCGACAGAGAGCTCTCCAAGCTCCAGGAAGCACTCATCTCCAGGTACGACCGGGACGTGAGGGACCAGTTGTCCAGGTTGAAGTTGGAAGTCTGGAAGTCCAAGGACCAGGACTTCACGACCAGGCTGGAGATGGAGACCGAGAAGCTCCTCAAGC